ATCGGAAGATCGATAGAGGTGTACATTGACAACATGCTAGTAAAGAGTGCTAGGACAAATCAACATGTCACTTATTTGGAAGAAATATTTGATGTACTAAGAAGGTACCACATGAAACTGAACCCCTTAAAATGTGCCTTCGAGGTTGGGTTCGGAAAGTTCCTTAGTTTTATGGTCAGTAACCGGGAAATAGAGGCCAACCCAGAAAAGATAAAAGCCCTGCAGGATATGAAGTCTCCTACAAGACCAAAGGAGGTGCAAAGGTTAACAGGATGCGTCGCCGCCCTTAACAGGTTTATATCAAAGGCGACAGATAAATGTGTTCCCTTCTTCGACACCTTGAAAGGAAGCCATCACTTTGAATGGACTCCACGATGTGAGGAAGCCTTTCAAAAATTAAAAGAGCACTTAGGCATGCCCCCAATTCTGTCAAAACCCATCCCAGGCGATAGGCTGAGCCTATATCTCTCCGTATCTGAGCATGCTGTAAGTTTCGTGCTTATTAGGAATGAAGAAAAGGTCCAGCTACCAGTCTACTATGTAAGCAAGAGACTCTTGGATGCCGAATCTAGATATTTTGAAATGGAACAGCTAGCTCACGCCTTGATGGTAGCTTCAAGGAAGCTTTAGCATTACTTCCAGGCCCATATAATACAGGTCCTTACAAATCACCCGTTAAGGTAAGCACTACAAAAACTCGAAACCTCCTGTCGACTCCTCAAATGGTCAGTAGAATTAAGCCAGTTTGACATCGAATATGTACCACGAGCAGCTATCAAGGGACATGTGTTGGCCGATTTCCTTGTAGAATTTTCTCACAGGCCAACGCCAGCCACCAACGAAGAAGTTAAGGTAGTTGAGTGGAAACTCTACGTGGATGGGGCATCGAGTGAAGCCGAGTCAAGCGCTGACGTCATGCTTATTAGTCTAGAGGGCCACAAGATCACCTCGGCGGTACGATTCAAATTCAAAGCATCGAACAATGAGGCTGAGTATGAAGCATTGATCGCAGGGTTGCGATTGGCAAGTCACTTGAAGATTCAAAGGATCAGCATCTTCAGTGACTCTCAACTAGTCGTCGGGCAAGTAAAAGAAGAGTACCAGGCGCGCAACGAAAGAATGAGGGCAGGTAAAAATAGAACTCATTAAATTCAAAAGCTATAAGATACTATAGGTACCAAGAGGAATACGAACGGTGACGCTTTGGCTAAATTGGCATCCTTGAAGGATTCTGATATACTAAGAGTCGTCCCCATCGAGGAGGTTGAGCGGTCGACTATTGATGAGAAGGTCAAGGCCTTGACCATTCAAACAGTCGAGGACTGGATGACACCCCTCATCCAATACTTGGCAGACACAAAGCTACTCGACAATAAGAAGGAGGCCAGGCGGGTCAAATATATAGCAGCCTGATACCTGTTGTATGACGGTATACTATACCGATGAGGCTACTTAACGCCTTTACATCGGTGCCTGAATGGCGCTGAGGTGCGAGAAGTCCTCCGGGAGATCCATGAAGGAGTGTGTGGCAATCACACTGGGGGGCAATATCTAGCTCTTAAGGTTTTGAGGCAGGGGTACTATTGGCCTACGCTTAAAAAAGACGCATTTCAATATGTTCGGCGTTGCGATGAGTGCCAAAAATATGCCACAATTCTTAGAGCATCCCCAGAGAACCTAACCTCCATTATTAGCCCATGGCCTTTTACCAAATGAGAGATCGACCTGATTGGACCCTTGCACCTCGCGCTGGGGGGCTTTAAGTTTGTAAAATGGGTGGAGGCGAAAGCTCTTACTATGACCACGGAGACAACTTGCACTAACTTCATGTGAAAAAACATTATATGCAGGTTTGGAGTCCCACATTTGATCGTGTCTGACAACGGAAAGCAGTTCGACAACGCCTCAACGCCCAAGTTCTGCAATGATTTGGGCATTCGGAAGGACTTTTCAGCACCAATTCATCCACAGTCCAACGGCCAAGTTGAGGCCGTTAACAAAATTTTAAAGTACACCCTAAAGAAGAGGCTAGATGATTTAAAGGGAAAATGAGCTGAAGAACTCCCAAAGGTCTTGTGGGCGTACAGGACGACAAGTCAGACTACCACGGGTGAAACACCCTTTTTCATGACGTATGGCGCAGAGGCGGTACTCCCTATCGAAATCACAACGCCGACATTAAGAACTGTCACACATAACGCAATGCCAATGCAGAAGCAATGGATGGAGAGCTCGACTTCTTGGAAGAAAAAAGGCTCGAGTCTCAACTACGACTTGCCGCTTACCAACAAAGAACGACTTGGTACTATAACAAAAAGGTCAAGCAAAGGAGGTTCGTCCCGGGAGACCTGGTATTAAAAAGGGTGACACAAAGTACGAAACCAAAAAACACTGGTCCCCTAGGCCCGACGTGGGAAGGACCCTACCGCATCCGGGAGCTAGTACGCCCAGGAACCTATGTATTGGAAAGTCTGGACAGCAGGAAGGTTCAACATCCATGGAATGCAGAACAGCTACGATTGTATTATCAATAAGTGTACTCCTTCTGTGTTGTAGTTGAGATTAGCCTTTCAATAATATATGATTCATTCACTATGAAATTGGTCGAACGCGAAAAAGTCGACCACTGAGAAGACAAGCCTCCTACAAAATCAAGATTTTACAGCAGGCATGGGGGCAGTCAAGTCAAATAGGAGTCTACATCCTACAAAACAAAGCAACAAATCCACTAGATTCTTAAAAATCTGCCAAGCCCTAAGGGGCATCTGGACGGTCGACTCCTCCAATGAGGAGAGGCTTCCATACCAGATTCTTAAAAATATGCCAATCCCTAAGGGGCATCTAGACGGTCGACTCTTCCAAGGAGGAGAGGCTTCCAGACCAGATTCTTAAAAATCTGCCTAAGCCATCGACGCCTTCAAAAACTAGCAGAAGAAGGCTGATAGAAATTTATACATTTATACATATATAAATAATAGTGTCTACATTGTCTGAAAATAAAAACTTTTACTTTGTTTTGGCACATTACAAAAAATTACATCTCCTAAGCCTCGTCGCCATTGCCAGCATTACGATCACGTCTAGCTGACCCATTATTACTCTCGCCGCTAGGAGAATCTTCACCATCAGAAGGATGATCATAAAGGAATTCTAGGTTGAGGCCAGGGATGTGCCTATTGATCCGGGCAACAATCTGCTCACCAACGGACGACATGTCTTTGGCACGCAGGTCATAAAAATCGTCCGAGGATTTGAAGTCTTCAACAGCCTTGGCAGTGACATCAGAACTTTTCTGAGCATAATCCGCAAAAGCCAGGAACTCCTCGACCCCCTTATTCTTCCCTCTCCTGCTTACCAAGATTATATCCCTTCTTGCAAAGGGCTTCTTTGGCGTTAGCAGCTTCTTGACGAACAATAGCAATCTTTTTCTGAGCTGTGTCCAGGCTAGCCTTCGCCGCCTTAAGTTCCTTAACGGCAAGGGCGAGCTTCTCGGAAACTTCAGCCTTATCATCCCTTGCCTTCTTGAGGAGAGCCTTCAATCACCCCTCAAGCTGATCCATCTTCCTACTCCTCTCATCAATCGCGACCATCTCAAGATAATTAAGGATGGAAAGAGCGAGGGACTGCCAAAAGTGGGGAAGCAGTTAGAAAAATATACGTATATGTATATACGCAGGTATAACCTACCAACAAAAATGGAACTTACATGGATAGCGAAGGAGATTTGCTGACGAGCACGCTCAACCAAAGGAAGGCGAGAAGCACTCTCCCAGTTCTCATCGAAGAAGGACTCATACATAGCCTGGAAGAGAGCGAAGAAGCGTGAAGGCATGTTCAGTGCTGCATCAACATGTGCCCAGGAGTCATTGGAGACAATGAAATTTGGGTCCAGCACCCTCTATCCGGGAAGCAGTAGACGCTCTGGCTCCGAAGGGGCGTCATAAGCTTTAGCGTCAGCAACATCAATTACTGGCGTAGACTCAAGTACCGCAGGGGTCTCCTTCTGTCGGGGCCTCTTTGGTCTCGGCGTTTCCTGTGCTAAGGCCTCGGCCTCGGCGGGCTTTGTCAATGAAACGTCGACGCCAGCAGCTTCGCTCGACGGCCCACGAGGTATCTTCTTGGAGCGCCTCTTGTCTCCGGGGATGCGTAGACCAAGGGTCTTCATCTCTATAGCAGTCAAAGCCTAAGTAAAAAATAAAAATGAAAGAAGAGAAAGAGAAGGGAGAGAAAGCTGACTGACCGCCGGCGGTAAACTGGAAAAAGTCCTTGATGGCGTCAGTGTTGGCAGGGTCAGGAAGGGATAACAGGAGGCCAAAACGTTCTAGGTTCTTCCGCATTAAAAGGGTGTTAATGTGGCGCTCATCCTCTGGATAGCTGAAGGTTGTCTCCACCCGGGCGAGCCCGTTACCAGCAAGCTGGGGACGATATTGAGAAACTGCACAAGGAAAATTAAGTTCAGCGGTATAACAACCTGACGACAATATGGTAAACTGTCGAAGGTACTCACTGAACATCCCAAAAGACCTTCTCACCCCTGCCCTCTTAAAAGGCCTGTCCGCTGGATGGACGTCAAACATGCCTTTTACCATAAAAAACATTGGCTTCCATCCGTGAGACGACGATGATAGCCCTTTTATTAGCCTACCAAAGTGGGGCTTCGATCACCCACAGCCACCCAAAATATACCATCCCTCGCATTTGGAGACTTGACACAACTTATATACAAAACGGAACTCATCCAAAGGAAACTCTACATCAAACTTTCTATCCCAAAGTATCCACATGTTGGCGAAGATATACCAGAAGTTTGGCGCCAGCTGGGTAGGGGAGATTCCATGAAGGTTGCAGTAGTCCTTCACGAATGGATGAATGGGGAGAGTCGTCCCCGCAGTAAAAGCCCGGGTATATACGGACAGATACCCCAGAGGAGGTTGACTTGCCCTGTGGTGAGGGTCGGGCAAGAGAAACTCGAACCAACGACCATCCACACGCCCCTTCTGGTACGCATGGACAATGTCCCTATCACGGGTTTTTGGCACCACGAAGTCGGAGGTAAACCACGACCGATCCTCGTCCGGCCCTACCGACGCAACGGGAACATCCGTCGAGTTGCCACTGATCCCAACGGCTGAACCACCAACCAGGGAGCCGCCAGAGGAAGAAGCTTTGGCGGTATTTCCCTTATCATCATCGCCGTCGATCATTCGGTCGACGCTGTCTCCATCGTCCCGTGGTTCCGGGACATAGCCCTCGATGTCCCTTAGGAGGGAGTCGCTGACAGTATGAATGGAGGGAGATTCGGCGGCTAGAGACGGATCCGGCCTTACAACATGTACTCCGCCTCGACGTAGTCTTCTCCTAGGTGCCATTACTGTTAAGAAAGAGCCTAAGGTTAGTCCTACAAGTCGAGGGGAGGAGAAATTAGTTCGGGATTTTAAAAGAAAGAAAAAGAGTCCTGTTTGACTAAGACGCCGACCATTCAAACACAGCAGCGACATTCAAACGCAACGGTGACTGTTCAAGATAAATCAAGAATACCAAACAAACCCGAAACTGCTCAAAATTCCTATGGCTATTCCGAGGCATCGTGAATAAAAGTCAGAACAGTTTCCAAGCTCCTATTATACCACTTTCTAGTCATTTCCTTCTAAGTTCGAAGAATCTACCAGGAGCCAGGGTAGATTAAACACGATAAAAGCATGAAGAAAGGACGGAAAATGCTTACCAAGAGTTAAAAAGCAAGACTAAGGCGCGAGTGTTGGGAAGAATATCACCGAGGAAAGCAGAAAGTCCTGGGGGAATTTCTGCAGAGCTTTGGCAAAACAAAGGAAAAAATAAAAAAGATTGGCTTTCGAGCGCTTATAAGTATAACAGCCCTCAGTCCCCAACCGTTCAATCGTGCGCAATCGTATCCGACGGCAGGGGCATAAAAATCAGATCCTACGATTGGGGGAAGAGCGGGAAGAACGGGAATCTGAAAAAGGTTAATCCAAGGGCCCAGAGTCATCCAATTCAAAAGAGGGGCCATGTCAGCATGGTAGTTGGACCAACGCGACATTTGCACTTCTCGAGGCAACAGGGCCATCATGACACAGGTCCAAAGTTAAGTTTCCATACCCGAGGCAGACGAAAGGAAGCACCAGTGCAAAGTCCCAACCTAGCTCGAGACCATCCAAAGGAAAGCCTCGACCTGGGGGGTAGATGTTGTACGGGAAAACATGCTTTGACACGTCAAACAACGATAGCGCTCCACATGGCCCTGCAATAACCACATCAGCAGACCATCAACCCGTCATACCGCCGACCCCATGAAACCTCGGCGTTCATCTGACCCATATTGGGGGTCTCGCTAAGGTCGACCGTGCAAGGGCCAGCTGGAAGCCGGCCATATAAATGAGGGGCCCCCTGGGGTAACATTTGGATTTGGGGGATGTCTGTAATACATGCATTAATTACGACGGTGGAAGGTTGCAGGGAGTGCAGAGCCGTAATAAAGGACTAATTAGGTGAATGAATAGTCTAAAAGGTGATTAGTTGGCTATGCGTCTAGGCCCATAAGACAATAGGCACTCGAGTGCTGGGTCTACAGAGGAAACCACCTCCGGAAGTAAACTTGGGCTATAAAAGAGGGGCAAAGCCCCAAGCTCAAGAAGGTTCTTCTTTTTTCACATGTAATCAGAGAACAGAAAAATATATACAAAAGATACAGTGGATGTAGCTCTTCATTAATAGAGTGAACCACTATAAACTTCGTGTGTCCATTTATTTAGGCATTACATTTATATTTCCTTCACCACAAAGTTTACTCAAGCACTTCGCAAGCGTAATTTCGAATATACATCCGTATTAGGCCGGTAACCCTACAGGATACCAAGGGGTAACCCGGCGCAATCATGTTGACGAAATTCCACAGTCAACAGTGATTATTTTTTAAAACTTTTTACTGTAATAAAACTTGAATTCTAAACTCGAATCGGTAAAATAAACGGAACCTTAATCAAAACAAAGTTAGTGAGTATATTTTGTTGCAATACAGATAGAGTTTGTAACTA